GTTTTTCAGATATCGTACTGATACAAGGCGAAAAATTTTGAAAAGGGTTTATTTTCGTAGCATACAAACTAGAGAAAGAGACAGGGCGGACCTTAAAACGCATTATAATAAAAGGTCCGCCCTCTATATTTCAGATATCTTAATATTACAAGGCGAAAATTTTGAACAGGGTTTATTTTCGTAGCATAAAAATTAGAGAAAGAGACAGGGCGGACCTTAAAACGCAATATAATAAAAGGTCCGCCCTCTATATTTCAGATATCTTACTATTACAAGGCGAAAATTTTGAACAGGGTTTATTTTCGTAGCATAAAAATTAGAGAAAGAGACAGGGCGGACCTTAAAACGCAGTATAATAAAAGGTCCGCCCTCTATATTTCAGATATCTTACTATTACAAGGCGAAAATTTTGAACTGGGTTTATTTTCGTAGCATACAAACTAGAGAAAGAAACAGGGCGGACCTTAAAACGCAGTATAATAAAAGGTCCGCCCTCTATATTTCAGATATCTTACTATTACAAGGCGAAAATTTTGAAATTAGAGAAAGAGACAGGGCGGACCTTAAAACGCAGTATAATAAAAAGTCCGCCCTCTATATTTCAGATATCTTACTATTACAAGGCGAAAATTTTGAACGGGGTTTATTTTCGTAGCATACAAACTAGAGAAAGAGACAGGGCGGACCTTAAAACGCAGTATATTTAAAGGTTCGCCCTCTATATTTCAGATATCTTACTATTACGAGGCAAAAATTTTGAACAGGGTTTATTTTCGTAGCATAAAAATTAAAGAAAGAGACAGGGCGGACCTTAAAACGCAATATAATAAAAGGTCCGCCCTCTATATTTCAGATATCTTACTATTACAAGGCGAAAATTTTGAACAGGGTTTATTTTCGTAGCATTAAAACTAGAGAAAGAGGCAGGGCGGACCTTAAAACGCAGTATAATAAAAGGTCCGCCCTCTATATTTCAGATATCGTACTATTACAAGGCGAAAATTTTGAAATTAGAGAAAGAGACAGGGCGGACCTTAAAACGCAGTATAATAAAAAGTCCGCCCTCTATATTTCAGATATCTTACTATTACAAGGCGAAAATTTTGAACGGGGTTTATTTTCGTAGCATACAAACTAGAGAAAGAGACAGGGCGGACCTTAAAACGCAGTATATTTAAAGGTTCGCCCTCTATATTTCAGATATCTTACTATTATGAGGCGAAAATTTTGAACAGGGTTTATTTTCGTAGCATAAAAATTAAAGAAAGAGACAGGGCGGACCTTAAAACGCAATATAATAAAAGGTCCGCCCTCTATATTTCAGATATCTTACTATTACAAGGCGAATATTTTGAACAGAGTTTATTAAAAGTTATCGTAGCGTAAAAAAAAAACTCGTTAAAATGGCAGGGCGGACCTTAAAAAGCAGTATAATAAAAGTCCGCCCTCTGTTTTTCTTTTTTCCCACATACATGTATCTCACTTACAAAGCAAAGATTATGGAAATGCTGTAAGTTCCTATTGTTTTTTTTTTCTTTGTTGGTTCGTGTGTTTTTCCAGGGTAAAAAGATAATAAGGTTTTTAATTTTAGGATGGACGCTTAATTAACTTAGAAAACTCTTGGAATGGCCTAATTGTGCATAAGAATTGCATGTATACTATATGTAGTAGTGTACTTTTTTCATTTAATATGCTGACAAAAAGACAAAACTTTAATGTCAATTAATTATCCACTCTATGTACGTTTGCCGGAGATGTGTCTACTGTATTGTATATCTATATGCAACCATAAACATCTTTCTGAAGGGACCAGTCCAAGGATATATATTATTATTTAATTAGTAATGTTGATGACGTGCAACAAGAGAACTATAACCCCCCCCCCATCACACACACACATAAATAAAAAAGAAATAGCCGCTTAAGGTCGTAGAAAATCTTATTTAAACCAAAATCAAAATAAATATAAAAAAAAATATTAACAAAAGAACACGACTTGGTGGTGTTTTATGAATTTTTATATCAGTCACGATCTCAACAGACACTTTCCTTTTTATTTTAGGGGGAAATACATGTCAAGTTGCTCTGTAAAACTCCTCTGTAAATAGTATGGGTGGATAAGATTCTCCCTAGTAAGAAGGTGGAAAAGGAGAAAATTCTGTACTGAAGCGTACTGAGTATTTCCTATGGTGGATAACAAAGCCGGGGTTGTTTCTTCCAAGCTCGCTGCATGTCGTTTCCGAAATTTTGCATTGCATTTCCGACAATTTTTGTTTTCATTTTACAATACAATCAACACTAAGTCTAGTAAAAATACAAAGTTTAGTAATAAAATGCAGTAATTTCAATAATAAAACATGCAATTTTTGATCACCAAATTTTAATGCCCACTGAATTATATGTGTTTGAAAGCACCGAAAAACAGAATCTCCTCTACTTTGATTACTTTATTCCGTCAAACATAGTTTCTGTATGTCTTAAATTCTATCTAAACCTTTCTGATCTCAAATTCAGTCTGATTATCTTGATTTGAAAAGATGAACAAAAATTCACAACTTACACTTACATGTGTCCAAGGATAAAATCGTCATAAGATTCTTTTAAATATAAGCAGAACTTATCATTTGGAAATCAATGAATTATTCTTGATTTATTCTTTAATTTTTTTATAAGGGAAATTTCAATTTTGTTTTTATTGCCGGAAAAGTACTTTATGATGATAAATGTCAGAGATGAAAATTTTAAAACGTCAGAAATGAAAACTACAAAATGTAGGGAATGAAATAAACAATATTTAAAAAAAAATTCCGGAAATAAAATCCTATGCTAGGCTCATTTTCCAAAAGGGGAGGGGTCTTTAAACCCAAGCTCGTTTTTCCGGGAAAAAATATTAATGCGGGAGGAAAGTCTACAACATCAGTACTTTTTAAACTATTTGACATGTATCAGCATAATTTTGCTATACCCCACCCACCAAAAATACAAAACACCATTTATAATCTTTTCCTTTTTGGGGGGAGGGGGTGTTTTATTGCTTAAAATGTTCAACTCGATTGACTTTGGTTTGATTTTGCCAGTTAATGCACATCTTCCTTAACCAGTGTTAACCCCGGGGTAATATCAAGTAGAATGAAATAATCGTTAGTCTTTAACTGGATAAGAAACGATGGTTATAAAGACACGAGGGATATGCGACTTCAAGTTTCGTCAGGTGAGACAATAGGCCTACCCCCCAAAGCATAGACATGTTGTTTTAACAACAACGGGATAGGCTAGTACACCGTAACACAAGTCCCTGTCAAGGTGACCCTCCAATTATTTTATAGTTAGGTACAATATGAATCGTAAGAATTATGCATAAATATTATTAATGATATAATGAAATATCTTTCGAAAGATATGAAAAAATTCTTTTTGGGAAGTGGAAGTCGAACGTTGTTAGGAGAGAGACTGTAATGAAATGATCATTGTTGGACTTACGAACACCTTATACCATGTATACTGAACAATGTGCCAGTGAAGGTATGCGTATTATATATATGTATTTTTTTTTATTTTGCAATGATAATATTGATATCACTTAAACTATAAAAGACACATGTCGTACATGATTTTTCCATAAGGTAACTCGATCAACAGATCTTTGCATCTTTATATTTTTTGTTTGTGCACTACCTGGGAGGTATGTACTACGATAAGGAGCTAACAGTTAATCAGTGCTAACATCAAATTTTGAATAATTTTTTGATAGATAATTTGAGGTTTTGTACTGAGATATATCATAGTATTAGAAATATTATTAATTAAAATAGGCTGACGAAATCCAGCAACTAGCGAGATATCGTATAATGTATATACATGTACGTCCCTGGAACTCCATTTTGCTGAGAGGGACACTTTTATAACAACTATACCTTAAATAATTTAAAAAGATTAATAAAGCAAATTAATTTCGAATCAATAAAGGAGAAAAATCGGCATATTAAACCGAAGGCGGACCTTTTATTATAGAGGCAGGCCGGACCTTATATGTTATCGTATTAGGTCCCCCCGGACCTTTAAACGAGGCGGACCAAATATTATGCGACACCGTCCGTCTGTCTGTCTGTCCGCAAAAACTTTAATCTTGCCCATAACTTTTGATTGGTTGGAGCTATGGCATTCATATTTCACGTGTATTCCTTGTGACAAGACCTTTCTTTGGGTACCACCATACATGTATTTGACCTTGACCTTGGAGTTTGACCCAGTTTTGCAAAATTTTACCAAACTTTAACCTTGGCCATAACTTTTGAACAATTGGAGCTAAGGCTTTCATACTTCACATGTGTAATCCTTGTGACAAGACCTTCCTTAGGAAACCATAAACTTTGACCTTTTGACCTTGACCTAGGTGTTTGACCTACTTTTGAAAAACTTTAACCTTGGTCATAACTTTTGAACGGTTGGTGCTAAGGCTTTCATACTTCACATATGTAATCATTGTGACAAGACCTTTCTTTGAATACCAAAAACTTTGACCCTTTGACCTTGACCTTGGAGTTTGACCTACTTTTAGAAAACTTTAATTCTCTCTCTCTCTCTCTCTCTCATGGAATCCCGAACACTGAACTGATGTAATAGATTTTATTTTGGAAGGCAATGCTTGCTTAAAATGTTCACGTTTAAACTGCTGCTAATTATAATATCAAACGAAAAGTAGAAAGAGATGATATAATATTGACTGGGTTTTGACACAATCTGAGCAAAAGTGTTAAACCCTGTACATGTATTTATAGAGTAAATAAGGGGGAGGTTTTGAGAGTTTGAAGAGAGCCACTGAGGAATTAATGGTGGCTTGTTAGGTGCCTCCTCCCATATTATACTGTTTAGCGGTATTTGCCCAGATTGTCTCAAAACCCTCTATTAACACCGAGCTATCCTCCAAAGCCTCATACCTGATTATCATCCGCGAATATTACATTAAGGGGGGATTGCAAATAGCTCAATTAAAGTGTAACCTTTTGTAAATGGCAACACTCCCATCAGCTCTTTGAACAACATCCGTCATGCAATAAGTTCCACTACCACATTCTTGTAGATTGCCGAGGTAAACCATCCTTATGTCACAAGAAATATTGGCCACTGGATCCCCACATTGGTGACAAGACCGTGAGGAAGTTGGAAAAATGTCCCCTAAACAAAGTGATTGGCATGGGCTTTGTGACACATACTATCTTAAATTTCTACTTCCATGTCAGTACGGTGAGTTAGGATCTAACTACTAGTATATTGAATGCAAACTATTATATCTTGCTAAATTTCAGTGGCATTCTTTAAGACTTGGTCAGACAAATGCCAGGCCAAAGAAAGAGGGCGTACAAGGCGAGGACAATCCCCCGCTCTGAGACAATATATTTCTCAATTTTCAAAGTTCACGGAAAAGTTATATTTTTCTGAAACAGTGTTCTCATTAATGTCATCTTCAACACATTTGATTCAATTATTTAAATGAATGACTTTTTGATTGATAATTTGTTATTAAATTTGACAGTAAAGCATATTTAGTGGAAAATGGGTTTATTAGAGGCATAAAAAAATGATTTTTGAATATGAATGGGTCAAGTCTCCATTCTTCATTAACGTTTAAATGACGGAAAAGTAAATGTAAAATCTATTTCATGTTTCAAAAAATGGAGTCTGAACCCATTCTATATGAAAATCGAACATTTCTGAAAAAAATTTACGCTTCAACAAACTCGTTTATTTAAATCACACTGACACACAACAAATAAAGCAGACTTCGTAACGTAGTGGTTAACGCGTTCAGTCTTACGCCTAAGCGTAAAAGATTATTCTGACAATGTAATTTTTGAAAATAATAACATTTCATGAACTTTTAGAATTGAAAAATGTCTTCTCTCAGAGCGGGGGATCGTCCGCGCCTTGCAAGCATTCATTCTTTGAGAGTATGCCCTACCTTTTAAATTTTATATAGGGAAAAATTAAAATTTTCAATAGAAAATCGAATACGTATGTAGCAGTTTTTCACGATAACTAAAGCTTAGATTTCCAAAATTTTCATTAGGTCTTATTTTGTTTGTTCTGTATGAATGCAACAAAGTAAGGTTTGAAAAAGTTAGGGAAAGGTGTATGATTTGCACTGTGGATGGGGAGGATACTAATTTCCAGAGGTAGATTATATATTATTTAAAAGGTGAACAAAAATATCTTACCTTATTTCAGTTGAGGATTAAATATAAAATGTCCTAACCCCAACAACTGCAGCGTTTAAGTATTCTATATTAATAAGGTCATAGGACTCCCAAATGGTGTTTATATCTTCTTGTATTTCGTTGTTTAACGATTCAAATTCATTTGTTCAATGAACAAATGAATTTGAATCGTTAAACAATCAATGATAAAATTGGAGTAAATTTATATTTATTTTTGGACATTTTAAATCTCTGACCGTGAGAGGAAATCTGCACGCTCCCTTCAATCCCCCTCCAAAAATCAATCAATCAATAAAAAATATCCGATGGAGCTAGAAATAAAACAGCTGATATAAATACATGAATTTTAGTATATGCTACTTACTTGTAGTTGGTAGTGGTGTCGTTAACTATAAAATAAAACAGCACCAAAAAGTTATACATTTTTTATTTGAAAAGTAAAAAAAAAAATTCGTAATATCCTGACAGCTTTAATTACTTATTGCACATATCAAGAGAGGGGGACGCATTGTATAATGACGCCAGATTCGTCTCTATATGTTCAAGTAATCATAGGGACGAAAATAAAATTCCCATCTATGTCGAATCTTTGGTGGCGACCGGGGGTGGGGTGAGGTATAAGATTCTAATTAAAATGCAGTCTCAAAGTCCTCAGAAGAAATAATACAAAACTTAGATTATAGTAAACATATATATATATATATATATATATATATATATATATATATATATATATATAAAAGGGATGTCAAATCGGTCAATTTTTGATAATCGGTTACTCGGACGTTTTTCCGATTGAGTACCCGGGTACTCGGTAAAAGTGTAAATACAAGTGTGTTAATTTTCTTGAACCCCGTTAAACCCCAAGGCTGTTTTTATCACGTGTATAAATGTACTATATAAACACCGATTCCAAACGTAAATGATTTTTGGCACTACATTTATTTATCAAATAAACACAAAAGACTTAATTATTAGATCAAAAATTACGAATGGTTTACAGTTCTTGTTTAGAATCTATATTTCATCAAAAGGAGGACACTCTGTTACGCAGGTTTGTGATGATTAGACTAGCGAAAGAGAAGCAACGGACGTTGTTGGGATCGCTAGTCTTATATTATAGTAAGTTTAGTGTATAAGGGGAAACTATTTTATATGTTGATTGCTTCCCCCGTATACACTGACTAAACTTACTACGCTGACTTTCAACATTTTTTTAAAAAAAATATTTAGTTATTTCTAAGTATTTCTTCACTTTTGAAGTGAGTAGCGACATTTCTATGCATGTCCGATTTCGCTGCCGTATATTAACTAAATAATTTAAAAATGATTTGAAGATAATAGACTATCGATATTCACTGAAAACAATCACTGAAGCCATCCAAAAATTAAGGACCACAATAGGTGAGAACAGCTTGGTCACTAATTACTGTATATACACAGCAACAGGCGATAATTGGTGTTTTAGAGGTGTAGTAGACTACACGCTATAATTACCGTATGCATACATGCATTTAAATTAGTTTTTTATAAGTTTTTGATAAAAATAAGTACTTTGAAATAAGAAAAAATACACATCCGAGTAACCGAGTACCATTTTTAGTATTCGATACTCGGACGTTCGATCGAGTACCCGGTTAACCGGATACTCGTTGACATCCCTATTAATATATATCACATTCAAAAATGCGCAAAATCAAATATAATTAATTTACGTACAATATCGTACACAGTAGGCATTAACAGTTAGTCGTTTTCAAGGGAGAGTTGGCTTATATCTTGGGTTATACTTGGTTGAGTTAGACTTAGTACTAACCTTTTCGGGATTGCAAAAGCAGGTGTTATTTACACAGTCCTCGTGGCCTGGAGGGCACGGCATCGTCAGTGGAAAGTGTATAAATGTGTTTAAGTTATTACATTCACTTCTTGATACACATTCTGCAAAGAAACATTTTTTCCCGGTGTAAAATATCAAATACATACCGTAAATATACATATTGTAACGGGGGCAGGTTAAACTAAACTTCTTAGTGTTAAGTTGACTGAGGGGGCTTTTTCAATACAACATACAGCAATGAGGTTAAAAGTAAATTAGCCATGCCAACACAGCGTGACTTATTTTGAAATTAATATACTAATTTAAATAAAAAGACATGCATGCTCTGTACTAGACATTATCACACTCCGAAATTTGTTGAGATGTAAAATAAAATCAAGACATACACTTCTGTAATCTAATTCAGTCATCTAATAAGTAAGGTGATTGATTTTTCATTAATAAAAATACAATAGACATATACTTTGATTTGTTGTCGACAACACTTTCCCTGTGGTTGATATCTGGTTTGTTGTTGATGACATTTTCCCTGTGTTTGATGTGTGATATGTTGTCGACATTTTCCCTGTGGTTGATGTGTGGTATGTTGTCGACATTTTTCTCGTGGTTGATGTCTGGTATGTTGTTGACAGCATTTTCCCTGTGGTTGATGCCTGGTTTGTTGTTGACGACATTGTCTCTGTGGTTGATGTCTGGTTTGTTGTTGATGACACAGTCCCTTTCGTTGATGTTTGGTTTGCTATAAACGACACCTTCGTTGTTAATATTTAACAAATATTGTCAAAGACATGCTCCCTATTTTATATAACTATTAGGAAATGCTACCAGAGTCACTGTGATTACATTGTACATCTTTGAAAACCAAACATGTTTCCCTGTTTCACCGGAAAGCTAACAAATCAAGAACCTTGATTTCGTAGATCCAGTAAGCAGGACTTGTGTCTCTAATATGGATGAGAGAGAGATAGAGAGAGAGAGAGAGAGAGCAAATTTAAACAGGAAAAATTTTTTGTAATACCTGATGTTTCAGTGTATTGTTTAACAGTTGTTGTTGTTCCCGCCGCCATGGTGTTTGTTGCCCTTGTTGTCTGAGAATATTAGAATGTAAGGGTTATGGTTTGTTTTGGGGGAAAGGCTTAAAAATACATAAAATATGGAACAGACTCTCAATTTGACGATACAGAGTATTTTACTAAGTCATGGCCGTAGGATATGGGGTGAGGTGCACGGAAGGGCGTGCCCCACCCCCAATAATTTTACCAAAATATAGTATACTATAGAAAACAGAGTACTTCATGCTTGTTCCCCCTCAATAGTAACGTCTGATGACCTCCCCCCTTTTTTGCTTGTCAAGGAATATTTGCTTGATAGTGCCCCCTGAAAATATTTGGTTGTGCCCCCAAACTGAAATTGCTTCCTACGGGCCTGTAAGTTGTATAAAATGAAAACCTGAAATTGGAAAATACATTGACACCTTCCATCATGACACTCTGGATAGAGATTGTTGACTGGACGACACCTTAAATAAGTCATTTCTCCGAGTTCCATTACTGTGTTGTTCTCTGTGCAATCCGAGTAAGAGAAACAGGCTTAAGGAATTAAAAAAAATCAGGAGAAAGGAAATTGTAGAGTTAAAAAACATAGATTTTTTTTTTTAATTACAATAAAAATCCATCATACTGATCACTCACATGGGTTCAGTTGACATTTACAAATTCCAAATCGGCAAACTTTCACGTGATGTTGACTGCAATTAAGATGTTGGCAACTTGTGATGTCATTTCCTGTACACCTGTCTGTAACGAGGTGGCACTGACACTGACTGCCGTTGCAAAATGGAGTTTCTCCAACATCTGTATTACAACTGAAGTTCACACAGTCTGTGTCACGTTGGTTACAGTAATTGAACGGCTTACACATACACTGACCATGGTCACATACCAATTTTTCGAAAAGATGGCATTTATTATGGCAGGTATGAACATTATTTCCGCTGCAGGCGTCAGTCAAAGGGGTGCATTGACAATAATTACTTGTGTTGCAGATAGGAACAGTTCAAATGCATGCAGTATTGATTTGTCTGGGATGGGCAGAAATCGACACTTCTACACACACACCGGTGATCTATGCAGAACGCTTTCTCGTTGCTGTTTTGGCACGACAAATTGTCGCAGTTAAAATAGGAATCACAGTAGTTCTGAGGTTGACAACGACAATCGTCTCCGTGATCGTGATGAGGAGTTCCGTCGTTTTTACCCCCCTTTACGATAGAGTAACATGTCAGCTTGGACGGGGGCACACATGTTATATGCTTGCAGTGATGGCATCGAATGCCTAAAGAAATGAATAATATTGTAAAGTTTTAAAAATGAAGACGTAATCAATGTGAAGATATGTATGACCGAAGAAATATGATTACTTACGAATGCTGGACAACTCGCCCCCAAGACAGGTCGCCCCCAAGACAACTCGCCCCTATTTAGGACAACTCGTCCCCAATTCAGGACAGCTCGCCCCCATTTAAGACAACTCGCTCCCAGTTTAAGAAACCAACAAATATTAAATATATTATATAGCTATTTGAATTTTAAAATATTCCTAGAGAGTTAAAACAAACAACTGAAAATAAAATTTCTCAATTTTATTGAAAATAAAACACAACACAAATAATTCAAACACTAATATCTATTGTCGGTACTGGCAGTTTTTTGATATATCTTCACTAAATTCACACTTTTGTTTACATTTTCATCACAAATAAAACTAAATATATGTAATTTTCAGAGCTTGCATGCTTTAATTCTTCATCACGTTGAAGCTGCTTCGGAGCTTTGATACGGCACGCCAATTTTTTTAAACAACTAAATATACTTAATTTTTGGAGCTTGCTTGTTTTAATTAGTCGTCACTTTGAAGTATCCAAATTAATTGCCGGTTAGCTTGGGGTGTCATTAAAATTTTTGTCTGATGTTTTCATTTAATTAGAAATAATCATTGTCATAAGTTTCTTAAAGCCGTCAGTTAAACGTTAATTTCGTCATTAAATAATTAAGATGTTTTAACACGCAGGACAATGTGCTCTTTTAAAATAGACATATTTTATAAATATAAATTTAAAAAATGATAAATCAAAATGCATTTATTCACTCTATTTCATAAGAATAAAATTTAAGAAAGCATGGATATTATGATAAATCTTTTATGCATACATTGTACGTGTTTGTATACAAAAATATGATGTAAATGCATAAAAAAAAATAATTAACCTAGCCATTACAATCGTAAATATTGATTATAATTTAAATTTGCATATAAAATATACATAATTGAATAACAGTTATTTTTTTTTCCTTGTAATTCACAAGAAAAAATAATGGGGGCGAGTTGTCTCTATAATGGGGACGAGCTGTCTTGAGTGGGGGCGAGTTGTCCTAAATTGGGGGCGAGTTGTCTTTAATAGTGTTGGGGGCGACTTGTCTTGGGGGCGAGTTGTCCTGATTCCTTACTTACATACTCCTCCCAAACATTCTTCAGTGGCAGCATCTGTATATTTTGCTGTAATGAATACATATATCATCCGTCAGCCTATTAACCTACATAGACCTCCATTAAAAAGATTTTATTAGTGTAATATCCTAGTATGTATTTGACCCCGAGTGAGAGTGTCAGTTTCATATCACGCCTATATAGCTTCAAAATAAAGCAATAAAGAGTAAAAAACTGCAAGGTTATATGGATGAATGGAGTGAAGTAAGTAGTGTTTCGTATCACTGTGAGAATGAAAAAAACTTTAATTATCATATCTTACTACTAAAAATGCAGAGTTCGATCATCTCACCTTGAATAAAACACATAAAAAGTACAAAAGTGAGTGACATAGTCCAGCAAAACATGGCCCGGTGAACATTGATAAGATTATTTCAGACAAGGACATTTACCTCTTATTATCAGAAGAGTCGGTTTAATTTATAAAATTGTTCATCTCCATTGCATTTTGTGCGCATATACATCGACTGAAAGGAGGAATGTTATTTTTCAGGGAGAGGGGTATAATTTGAGTGAAAAGTTCCTGGAGCATTAAGTGTAGTAAACTCAGTCTGACTTTCTAACGACGGAGAAATCAAAATGTTATAAATTGCAGAACAGGTGCAAAAAAATCCTGATTTGAACAAATCTGGTCTTATGGTGCATCAACTGACAAGTGATCCGTATCCTCAAAGTGTACTAAATGGCTTTCATACATTTTTGTATTGGGCAAATCAATAAATAAATAACTGCAAAATTTAAAAGTAGGTCATTTGGGTTGGCATACTTAGTATCCCCAGACATCAAATGCGTCAGCTGGTGATAATTCATTATTCTAAGTCTGTAAGTATCCAAGCTAAAAATATTTGAAAATAAATATTGATAAAATTAAAAAAAAAAAAAAGGGTCAACATGACACATCCCCTGGGAACAAGATGCATCAATTTCTAGAAGGGTGACCCTTCATCACATACACTAGACAAAATTGCTAACGCACCACTAGCTGCAATAATGTAGCCCTCTCCGATTTTTTTTTAATCTGATATTTTCTGGAGAGGGCTACAATTCCACTGCATCTCCGTAATGGTGCAAATATATTTTTTAGATACGGGCGAATGCAGGCAAAATAAATTGTTTTTCATTCAACTTACTTCCAATAATACGGAATTTTTATTCACAATCAACATCATAGCCCTTTATGAGCGAAAACCAAGTAAAATAAATCTGCGTGTTTACCAGTCGTTCTCTTCAGCAGCCATGACAGTTCTCGCGTGATGTACAGAGACTTGCGCTTGAAATTTAGAATCACTTGATAAAGTAAATGTCGGTGTTGATAAATGTTTGTGTGGTATGATATCACTAAACATCGATAAATAAAAGCATTCCATGTGATTTTTTTTCATAAACAGTGATATTTATGCTTAAAATAAGGGAAATCCTAAACGATCCGCTCCCCTAGATCCCGATTTCTCATTGGTTGTCCCAAAATAAAATCGATCAAGGTCAGTAAACATGGCGGATAAATTCAAGTTGTGATGTTGACATACACGAAAAATAACCGATATACGGATTGTTCTGTATATTTTTGGATCAATTCATGTCTTGCATAACTACATTTTATGAGTTCAGGTAAGATATGTTAATAAAATACCCACTTACTGATAATTTGAGCCGAAATCTGTGCGGTAGTGAATCACTCCCGCACTTGCACCATTACGGAGATCCTAAGGAGTTGTAGCCCTCTCCCAAAAAAAAAAAAAAAAAAAAAACGGGAGAGGGCTACATTATTGCAGCTAACGCACCACCAATGAAAATTTTTATTTTACTTTTCAAAACTTGTTTATGATGTAGTTGATAATTATAGTACATAAGTAACATATGAGGCATTTTAAAGGTGCTTGGACACAGATTTGAAGTTAATATTTTCTCAAATTTTCTCTATAATTTCATGACTTATATGTTGCTTTAGCATTTCATACTAAAATATAATAGAAATCTTGTTTCTTCTCGAAGTTATTAAAACTTCGAATTTCTGGGCGCGTTGGATTGACACATCCTTGCGCTTTCACATATTTTAATTTTATTCTTAATACTTAAGAAAAGTGGCAATTTTGTTGTGTATTGATGAAAAATATTAAAATTATAACCCAGAAAAATCAGAGTAGAAATGTTCGAAAGCAAAACCAACTCACAAGTATTGTCAGTCCGTGGTCTGTGATATGTACAGAGTTTAACAAACTGAACACACCCGGTGAATCGTAAACATTAACAATAACAGAGCTCGTGCCCTGTTTACACAAGAGTTTACGTTTCACGGGTGTGTTCAGTTTGTTAAACTCTGTACACATCACAGAGCACGGACTGACAATACTTGTGAGTTGGTTTTGCTTTCGAACATTTCTACTCTGAATTTTCTGCATTATAGATGTAATATTTCTCATTAATACATAACAAAATTGCTTCTTTTCTTAAATATTAAGGATGAAGTTAAAATTTGTGTAAGTGCAAAGATGTGTTAATCAAACGCGCCTCGGAATTCGTAGTTCCAATAA